GTATTCGAACTGGTTCACCTTTGTTTTCCTTGAATGGGTTAACACTGATGTGATTATTATAGCTAAAACAGTTGTACATTATGGTGGACGTCATATAATCTATTCTGTGGTTAGCGTAACAGTGCAACGGAATGGAGGAATACCTGGAATTAATATGGGATTATTGGGTCAGAGAAAGTTCCCCTGAAGAAAGTTAATAGTTTCGGGATAACTAGAACACAGAACTGAAAAAGGGCTGAATACCGCATGCAATGTACCGATACTGAAATGAGGGCGGCATGAAAGATTTAAATTTCTTCAATGCATAAAGGACGGTAGAACTGAATTCCGTCAAAATGAACAGTTCATTATTATGAACATCGGGAACAACTAACGGGATTAAACTACTTTTCATCGATCCGGTTTATTTTGTCACGAAACCATCAACCGATTTTGATGCTACTTATTAGCATCTACTACTGTTTACCCTGCTGTCGCAGTTCCTGGAATCTACCCACTTTTTCAAATTCCCGAGGAGTGCAACATAGCAGGAGAGGGACTGTATGTGAGTAGTTGACCGATATCATCTCTCAAATGTCATTAACGATGAAGGGCACTATATTTTTATTGCGCCAGTTGAAAAAAAAATGCCCCGCAGAAATCCATTGTTGTGTCGTCTATTCGGATTCTTACCGCGAGAGCACGTGTCGGTTAAAACGACATGGGATTTGATCCTTTCATGGTAGTTCTATCAAACGGAATTCCACCGATATACTCAGCTACCCCAGTTTCTCCCCAAACTAGCGCTTACACACGCATCACGCTTCGTAATTACCATAACGCTTCCCGTATCTGTTGATACCCGGCAGACGCGAATTGATTCGCGCTACATCACAGCACTAATCTAGTTGACCTCTAGATGATCAGCTAGGCATTTCATCTCGCTTTTCCACAAAACGGTGTGATTGAGCTGAGCGCCGCATACATTTACTGTTACAGTAGTTACGTTCTTCATGCTCAAAATGTTCCACTGTCCAGTCACTTACAAATTCGTCGCCAAGTGATTATCTGTAGGTTATTCGCTCCATGTATGAGCTCAAATCATTCACCTCAAACTTCTGTATCAGCGACAACTGTTTATCCGGAAAGAAACATGGACAAGGCAATTTTCAAATTGTACCTGAACGCTCTACTGAGTTTTACGACAATCGCGACCACAGTTTATACTGCGCCCTTATTGTATCGATCGTGCAATGGTCTGAAAACCGGACATCGACCTGCCAGAGATTCTCAACCCGGTTCCCTCGTTCAGACAGCAGACAAAAAGCTCGCATGCAAACACGATGCCTCGGTCTCTCTCACACAGGTTGAAAGTGAACACTGCCGAAATTGGCAGTCCAACGGTCAAACTGAGAGTTCGAATGGACATTTCTAATAGCCACAATGGCTGAACTGGAGTCACAGTTTCGCGGGGAAAGATTGAACTACGCAACCAATCTTAGTAGACGCATGTGATGCCCACTGTGGAACTATTCGCGCTATTCATCGACCGATACATAGGATGACGTAATTCTCCACTGCCCATCGATTTATGATGGTAAGTGGTGAGACTCACTACCGCTAAGTGTTGCGCAATGATGAACTAAACGCAAACTTTTCCCAACGTGGCGTTGGGCGAATAACAGAGCATACATATCTCGCAGAATAGAATTTCATCCGCCCGCGTGAGACACCACCCCCCGCTCAAATCGGGTAACTTTGCAATGAACCCGTCGTCACCAATCAATTGTTCTTTGCCTTGTACCGATTATGCTTGTGAAAGCAGTACCCAACGGATCATAGTACCGTAGTATGGTTATTCATCATTTTCCTCCTCCGCAAGGATTTGCCCGATCGATAGGGAAAAGGAAATCACTGAATAATGTCACCACGCGCTTCATCAGCCAGAAAAAATTAATCCCTAATCTGTATCGCGGTTTCACAATCACTCGGCCACAACGGAGTGCGCCATCAAATTGTGATAATAAAACTAGTTAAACGCATTGTTTGGAAGGATTTTCGAGAAGAAACAAAGTCATACAAATTGAGCACTTAAGTAAGTGAATAATGATTAAGAGCGCCAACTTAACCTGTAGTTTGCGAGGCCGACCAACCACGCTGTTTGTTTGTAATTAGGTCTGAACCCTCCATACGATTCAAATACCACGATGTGGACAATTCCGCCCGATTGCTAGCATACATACAAACAAAATTCGTCTTTTGTAATTACCTGAATCCAGCAAAGTTCATAGTTGTTGTTGCTCAATAAAACAGACACGACCAATCCCACATCATTTCCCTTGACACATGATATGAACGCGCACAACACTACGACGGAAACAGATCCGCTAGACCAGATACCGTGAAGAAGTTGGAAATACATGGATAATGTTACGATGTGATTTTAGTTTGTACAAATCGGGTCCGTCAGAAAAGAGGGACGGGAACCGAAAAGGGAGTTGGCATGGAGAAATAATGGGACAGGGCACACTCAAACAAAACAGTATTACCAGCTTCCATACAGAGCATACAGGCTGTCAAGGTAGGGTAGTGGACAACCGATAGTGATGATGCTGTTGGCGATAAGGCCAAATACAAATGCGCACACACATACACACGCACGAGAGCCGAGTGACACGACACACAAAACCCCGGAATTTCAGGGCAACTGATTGAATTAATGATCCTCATGCAAAGACATTGAGGACGTAGAAAAATAACCACATGAATACACAAAAAGGAGCATGAAACACCAAAAGAACAGCAGACAAAGGAGGAAGATAGGCAGTTCGAAAACAAAACAAGATCGAAGAGAACCGAATTGTTTTGCGAGTACATTAGTAGCCCGGTGATTGAAAAGCGGCGCTGGAGATTGTGCCAGACATGTCCATTTGCCCCTTAAGTGTGTGTGCGCGAGTGTGGCCGAGAGATGGTGAAATCTTACAATTTGACAAGTTTTCCAAAATTTACGCATGAGAAAGAAGACACCGGATAGATAAAGAAAAGGATACATTGAGAGGTAGGTCGACGGAAGACCGAAACCACGAGATCGGTTCTGATTCACGATCATGTGAAAGAGAGCCGGGAGGATATCAGTAATAGGAAAATGAACCACATCAGGTTCATCCATGTAGAGCCTATGGAACAAAGTATAAGTGATAGGCGACTACTGTTCCGTGTGTGGTTTGGCATATAACCTGGATTCAGGCCCACGTGCGCTAGTAAATTATCACCACGACCCACACCGGATAAACACTACGGATGCTGGTAGATGAGACTGCATACGTGTCTGTATTCGACTAGTGGAAAACGATGGAGCTTAGAAAAATAATACAGAATGAGTGATACAGTGGGGATTAGAGGCAGTAGAGGACAACCGGTCGGAACATAGTCCAACATATGTCACACGAGATGGCGCGTGTCCAATAAGGGCCACAAGATGATTTAGTCACAGCATTCATCGCATTCAACTAACCGTGAGATGGAACGAGCCCGAGAATCCAGCAAAAACTGACAGTTATGTGCAACGAGTGAGCCAAGGATTCAGAATGCGTGTTGTATAGGTTGAAGATGCCATGTTAAAGCTCGTGAATTGAAAAGGTTGTAAAGTACGCGTATAAACGTGTACGCACAATCACTAATCTCCGGAAACGTGCAGCTTATTCAACCGCCTCAAGTGAAAATAGCAAAGAGCAAAAATCGAGAATGAAAAGCAATCGATGGGGTTTGACGCTGCAATCAGATGAGGCTGGTGTGTGAAACAAAATTGTATGCAGATCTCCGATTAGAAGAGTCTGTCTGCTTGAATGTGCACATTAGTGACAGATCCGCTACAAGTATCCAAGGGGACGAGTCTGATAGCTGGTTTACACAAATCGCTTGTCATCGGACGAGCCACTGGCACGAGTAAAGGAAGAGAAATATTCCCAAACCCAGTTCACGTGCGCTGGATTCCTATGGCGCTGTACAGTGAACAGTAAAAGAGTTAGTCGGAATGAAAATAATAGACGGCTAATATAAATCAATTCTCGCAATTCTGATCCAGGTAACCACCGATTTTCTGGCATATATATTCGAACGACGGTCGTCGATTGGGCTCCTGATCGGAAGAATGGGAGGGAGTAAAGAATATACGAACAATTTACGCTTTAGCGGATTGGTGGTAAATTGCCTGCTTGCCAGCGAAAGCAGTTATGCGAATCAAGAACAACAGAATGATTGTATGGGTGTTTTGGCAATTGACCTGGAGGTTATACCAATTAGGACAAGTTGTTAGTCGGGCGCGATATTGCACCCAGGCACCAATATTTACACAGTGAAGCGAAACGTTTCGCACTTTCCATTCTGATAAAGCAAATAAAGAAACAAACTTCAGTAAAATAGGGAATAGTTTACCTAACGAAGTGAGTCAGGTGAATTACACGGCTGGTTCCTACTTGCACCCAATAAGCGCACTGCTGGTAATAACCGGAGACAATGACAACATTACACGGAGAAAATTTACATCACCTGCACACAGAGGTATTGATCGAACAACTTAAAACAGATCCGACACCAGATAAGGCAGGAGACACTGAAATTTCGAAGGAAGGATTAAGATAGTAGGCGCAACGACACACAAATACACAAGCTGAGCGGTAGAGAAACATTCACAAACATTCACACACACAGGCGTTTGTCCGAACGAATCCGTGAACACCACCCCTCATGGCTAAACACAGGAACGATTAAGTCACTCACTAGTGCAGTGGTTTCACACCGAGCTGAAACAAATCACACTGTGAATGTGACCGAGGCATTCCGTCCCCTGTATCGGGTTCGTGGTCGATTATCAAGGCAGGTTCGCTGTCGTATGGTAGCCACAGCGGAAGCGGTGGGAATTCGGCTGCACCAACCCCCTTTGTGTGCCCAAAAACAATTTGTACAGGCGCTTAAGCTCCCCTGGCCCACCCCCTATACACCCCATATTCCGAGTGGTCCCAACGATCGGATGACCTAACAATCATGCGATCATTGAGAATTCCATATTCGGTCCCAAGATGAACTTAGCCCCAGGTAACCCATGAGGTTATTTTCCCTTTCCCGAAACATTTGTTTACGTTTTTATGACTGAATACCGATTTATGTATAAACAGCGTAATATTTATTGTGATGTATTTGGCATGACTACGAATCACTGAAAACGAGCTNGCCACTCCTTGTTCTATTTGAAAATGTGCTCTGTGGGACTGTTTAGACAATAAAAGCACTCAAGAAACTAATTCGAATTGGTTGAGGGATTGTGTGAGTCAGATCAACTTGTGCACCCGAAAACAAGTGTGGGTTGCTGAAAACAGGCAGCCTGAGCGTGCGAACGAACGAATGACTGACTAACTGACTCACAATGTGCAATGTTGTGTTCGAACATTGTGAACTTACAAAGGGTATGAGTGAGCAACACGGGCGCTCTAGAGATATGCTATCATGGTGCAGTTGAGTGATGTGTGCGCACTTTCTGATTCAGGGTGGCGCAGGATATTGTTGCATTGGATGTGGCACAACTAAGGAGTTCCGGTTAGTTTACTCATTCATTCGTTCAACTGAGACTCACTAACGATGATGGGCCACCCAAATCCAAGAAACAGTGAACAAACGAAAGCTGCTTATAGTCAAACTGTTTGAACGAAATTGACGAGCCAGCCGTTAAGGAAAAAAGAACTTGACTGCAATTAGTTTGAAGATTGACATTTGCGTTGTGGGTTTTCATTGTTGTTGAATACAGAGCTGATTTCTGTACAGGAGAAAATTACCTATTGAAACGGTTCCAAACACGTCAAATTTAAACTTAGCAATGAAGTCTGCCACATTTCATCCAACTAGATACTGACTATGGAACGGTTCTTTTCTACTCGCAGCGCACGCTTTAAACAACCATCCTACGTAGGCAGCAGTCCGTGTGAACGCTGCAACTATCTTGATGCATTTGAAACCATTTAGTCCGGGAAATGCTCCACCATCACTAGTCGAAAAACAAAACCAGTGGAAAGGGGTCAGTTGCAATCGATTAGTGACCACAAACTCTACAAGTAGTGGTCGGTCAGAACAGTTGACGAAAACGACCGCAAAATGGAGTCATGAATGACGAGCAGCTAAACAAGCTGAAACCATTGTGAACCACAGTTTGAGTCCCTTTCCTGTATTTCTTCCAATCCCACAACAAATCTCGTACATACGGATATTAACAATTCTGAAGTATGATATCGCTGAGTGTAGCAGTGGTGCTTGTGCATCTTCGTAATCTTTTCGCAACCGTAGTCTACCTGAATTGCGTAATTTTCACATTAATACTGATTAGAACATTGCAATTCCCCCTCTACTCTTTCATCTAAATGGATAGAAAAAAAGCAGCAACCAAAAATGACACACGGAGGTGCATGGTAAATGGCTATAAAAACTTAACTAAAACTACCAGCAGATAAATCAAATTTTGATCTAGTACTTTATTGATTCGCAGCATCATTCTGAGAAGAACGGATAACCTAACTTGGAGGCTACAGTTCGACACGGAATTTCTCGCTACAGTACTAAGCCTTATCGGTCACCCTAATAAAAAAGTGCAATTCTGGATTTTTTGCAGTTTACTTCATATGCAGGCAGGTATCTTTCTTCTCTCTATCTCTCTCTTTCACGCGCGCGATCACGCCTCCCAATAAATTAAGTGCAAATCGAAGCTTAGGTTCGTGTAACTTACCAGGCTTTCTAGTTTCCCTCTACGTGATTCAGTGAATGGCACAACGGATTGGGTAAATTGTTTGCATCTCGACCACGGCATCATACAACAGACAGAAAACTCACGTGTTGCCAGCATTCAAGCATGAGGACGTAAATCCGCTCTGGACAGACCGCTGGCTTTTGTAAGCGACCACCACCGACAATGTACTGATACACTTGAGTATTGTTCATGCCTTGGTATGGATTTTCCGCACAACAAGTGAAAACTTCCCACATAAGTACGCCTGGTAGAAATGAGAAAGGGGGAGATCGAGTGTTCAGTGCGCACCGGCTAGAAATCAATCTTTCAATCAATGCCACGATAAATCTGAGTTTATGCTGCTGAAGCGGTACAACTGAATCATGTGTAAATATGGTTTGATAATGATGCATTTCTTCACGCATAAAAAACGAAAACAGCGGCGTTTTACATTCATTTTTATGTACGTTTACTCCATCGATCACAAGGATCTAAGGAGAATCGGGGATAGGATTACAAGCCATATCCTCAGTAAGGTTCCGCCTTTTTACTCGAGGTGACACTTCAAAAATTTACAAATTCAACTGCAATGCAGTTATTCCAGCAAGTTCTAATTATTCGTGTTCTCTAGAAAGCATATCCCCAAAAATAACAGGGGACAAGTGATCATAATCACACTAGTGCCTGGCCACATCCTGGGATCAATTGAGGCATTTTATAAGGAGGAAGTTTCCAGAGAAAGAAAACCGGCTGCGGCATGTCCGTGAGCGCTTTCTCGATGAGCATGAACTTGCTTTATTCATGGTCACGGACCGATTTAGTGGCCGGGCCTCAAATCTCAGAGCTGGGAACAGATCAAGTAACACGCGGATCTGCCCCGGGCACTTGATATGGATTACATGTTTGCGTACATTTTTTGCCTTTATCGATCCCAGCGACAGTAATACAATGTTTTGATTTGTTCTCCGGACGAATGGTTGGTGAATCATTCTGCTTTGAAATCAGTCATATCAAATGATCGGTGATTGGCCAATGAATAACGAGATATCACATGTGGATGAAATAATTACCCATTATTGTTCGGGACCCGTCTCCGTTTGTGGATCTGTTTGTTTGGGCCTTGTGTGCTACTCGGTTCGTTATTCAGAAACCACAGACCTG